GGTGCAGGGCAAGGTTCCAGGGCCCACTGCACACCAACCTGGGTCAGCTCTTTCTGCCATGTCACCGGGGCCCTGATACAACACTGAGTCTGCCTGTATCTGCATACATGTCGGGGGCGGGGGGAGAGGACACTCAACAGGCAGTTGGGACTTACAGACAATGCTGAACTTACAGATGGTTTACACATTAGTCAACTACACAGAGCCATCAGGGGTCACACACCCAGACCACAGATCAGAGAAAAACAGTCTCATGCAGGGACCTTGTGACCTAAGTGACAAACAGCTGCATGAGCCTTTGAGAGTTCTCATTTCCCTATTTCTTATCCCAAAAGATAACGTACCGAGAGAACCAGTAAGAATGCAATGGATCATAATTTGGCATTTGTTTGGGGCTCATTCTAAAGGGGCTGTGGAGAAATCTTAAACCTTTAAATTGTCAAACTCCGACATTATTTGGAAATAGTGTCTTCACAGAGGCAGGCAGAGGAAGGTCACCAAGATCACCCTTATGCAGGAAGAAGGGAAAATGTGGAGATGTAGACAGGAGGAGGAGGCGTGTGTGAGGTCTACAAGTCACGGAAACTCAGACACTGCTGGCTGTGCGGAAGCCACTTCTTCCAGGTTGGGCATGGCGAGTGCCACCCTGAGGCAGAGCAGCCGTGAATCACTCCCACAACGCCTCAGGCGATCAGGCTTCTCTTGTGGGGGAAAGACAGGGTGCTCAGGAGACCTCCCATTCCTATGTAAAGCCCCAGAGCCACGTGTCTCCCATAGTTAACGTCTCTGCTCTGCACCTCCGCGCTCTTGCTGGTTCACACAGCCAGGTTGTCACAGAGATGCCTGGTTTTATCATGTGACCAAATGCTTGCCAAAAACAGCCGAAAGAAAGACTGGTTTGGGTGCAGGTTGGAAAGCTCAGTCCATCATGGAAGGGAGGGCGTGGCAAAACAGGAGGATCTATATCAGTGTAGCCGCGAGACAGAGCGGGAAAGCCTGCAAAACCGGCACAGGGAGACACCGCTGCCATGATCCAGAGCCCTCTACTCCTGCGAATCCTAAGGGAAGACCTGTGCCCGCACAGACTCCTCCAGCAGAGGCGGACGAGCAGACACAGTCCCTCTGCAGCGGCATTCTCTCCTCCTCCTAAGCTGTTTATGTGTTCTGTCCCAGGGACAAGGAGGCTAACAAACACACCATCTTCCCAGAGCTAAAGCAGAACAAGTAAGTTTTCAGACAGCTGAGAGACAAAGAATCCATCCCCAAGAGACACTCTGTCACAGCCCACTTCTGGCACTACAATGTAACAATGTAACACTGTAAAGAAAAGAGTGTCTACCTCGGCTCATGGTCCAGTCCAAGGTCAGGGGCTGTGTCTGTCGACAGCTCCAAGGTGAGGGGCAGCTTTGGGGTATCTCATATGTATCACTTTCCTGTGCCCCCATCTTGTTGTGTACAAAGCCACCAGAATTCATTCATGGGGTCCAGGCTATGACTTGCATAACCACCTCTAAAAGCCCACTAGTCTGACCTTTCCACCGGCTCTGCCTCACAGCGGGGGCTGAATTTCAACTCACGAGTGACTGAGGGGCAGACTTGGCCCATTTCCAAGACGCACACCTTCACCGTAGAGGACACCAGGCAGAATACATATGTGGACATCTACAGTAGATCATAAACGATTTCATCTCTTTAACTTCTCTCAAGACTATGAACTATAAACAACAAACATAACTATGTACAAGGGGACGGCAGTCCCTGACATGCTCGGAGCTCCGCTGTGAGCGCTGGCTAGAGGTTCTTCTTCACAGGCCTGTGCTTGCAATACCATGTTTCTACTCAAAGCAGGCCGTGGTGGGAGTATTTAGCTCACAGAAACAGCAAGTGCTATAGATGAAGACTTGGTCCTCAGGAGAGGCGTGGCTAGCAGTTCCCACACAATGTATCGGGAGTACAGGGAGAACAGCAGGAACCACTGAGAGAGGGATCATCTTAGTTTCAAGGCTTTCTCTTTTTACCCTTTATTATTTTAGGAGTATGACCATTTTGTCTGCACATATGTATGTATACCCAAGGCGCCTAGTGCTGAGCATTTTATCTACATGTATGTTTATGTGTCCCATGTGTGTAGTGTCTGTAGAGGCCAGAGAGCCACTGAACATCTTGCTGGAGTCAGAGATGCTTGGGAGGCTCCATAAGGTGCTGGGAATCGAACGTGGGTCCTCTGCAAGAGCGGCCAGTGCTCTTGATCACTGGGCCATCTCTCCAGCCCCGATTTTCATGGTTTTCATTTTTCTTTAAATATAATATCTCAAAGCAGCCCGGCAGCATAAGGCATTTCTAAATCTCTGGAAAATTAAAGATTAAGGCCTACATAAGCTTATGTGAAGAAATAATTGCCAGGGAAGGTTGTGAGATTCCTTGGGACACAAAATGACCTCCTCAGGGCTCTGAACATTCATCTTCTCAGTAATCACTGCTCTGTCTCCAAGAGGAAGGAGGAAGTCACCAGCAATGAGTTAGCAAACAGTCTTAAATATCCAGGAGATGTTTAAAAGGGAGTTTGCAAGCGGGGCTCTAAGGGGGAAACTGACATGGGACGTAGACAGCAGGTTTATTTTCATATCAGGAGTAAAAGCTGAGGGTCGTGAGAATAAAGTCTGCCCAAGTGCAGACCCAATGCCACTCCCCGGAGGACGACTACGTACTCTATACATTCTGGAAAGCAACAGGGCCTTTCCACGTATAAAGCGATGCCAGCCCTGTCCCTGGAGCCACGCTGAAAACTGGTAACTCCCCCATCTTTTTACGGTGACAGTGCAGAAGTAAGGGAAGATTATGGATTCGAGAAGTACAGACTTCCAGAACTAATTCATTTCAGAGAGACAAGGCTCCAGGTGTGGTCTGTGTGGCCAGAACACTGATGGGCTAAGCATCAGTGAGCCGACCGACCTCCCTAAGTCTTGCTTCCGTCATCTACACCGTGGGCGTAGTGAGACTGTTTCAGGTGGTGTCAAGTGATGGGAATTCGTCAACAAATGTCCGTCACCAAATTGGGGCGGAACTGGTCAGCATGGCCTGGAGGCTGACCCTGAGGAACAAGGAGCCAGCTGCCTGCATGAGCCCGTTCTGAAACAGAGAAAATAAAGACGGGCGAGAGTCCTAGGTGTAAGGTGGACGGACTGCTCAGAACAGGCAGGCTCCTTACACACCACAAATCAGCCATGATTAACTGGTGTGGTGGCACACACCAGTATGTCTAACACTCAGGAGACAGGAGCAGGATTTTGAGTCTGAGGCCAAGTTGGTCTATCTCAAAAGACAAAAACCAGAAAGAGTTTTAAAAAAAAAAAAAGTAGGGCGAGCAAGACGGTTCATTCGATAAAGGCATTTGTTGCCAACCCTGATGACCCAAGTTCAAGTCCTGGGATCTACATGGTACAAGGAGAGAAATAGTTCCTGAAGGTTGTCTCTGGCCTCCACAGGTGGACTGTGGCATATGTGCGCACACGCACAAAAGAGCAATAAAAATATTTTCAAAATCCCCAAAGAAGCAACAGCGATAGTCATTCCTGAGCTATGCTGACTACGGTTACTCAGACACCCAGCACAGAACAGGGAGGGAGGCAAAAGGCAAGCTTGCACCGTCACACGGGACACCAGAACTGATGCCTGCATCAGCACCACAAGTCCACAGCCTGCTGTGCAGATTTCCCCCACGCGGGATGTGCTCCCATTTGGTCACATGGCTTAGTCACACGGTGAAGAGCCAAGCCAGAGACAATATGCACACAGGAACACGGGAAGCAACCTGATTCCAGGGTAGCACAACAGAGACTTTGCCTGCAGCTCTGCAGACTCTACTCTGCAATCAGCTTGCTCCATCCTCCCCGGCTCTACAGATGGGGGGGGCGGGGAGGGGGAGAGGGTTGATTAATCCTTTAGTAGAAGAGGCTGCTGTAATCTAAGGCGGGCACACCCCATCTTCCTCTCAACGCCACTCCTCCATGATTTTAGCTGCTCTTCTCCTACATTAGCTGCTGTATTTCCTCTCATCGGAAAGTCAGAAGAAGCGCAAGGGGCCGCCCTGTCTTGGCTCCTACACACAGGTAACTTTCTATCCCTTGAAATCTAGAGGCTGGACCACTCCCTTTCCTGGCCAACAACCCCCTTCCTTCTTGCTAGAGTGGAGACACCATGTGCAGCGCAACACTGCCGCGGACACTCTTCCACGTGGATGTATTCACTGTCGTGTCTGCAGTGACAATGGTACGACACGGTTACTCATGATGAAGGATGCAGCCCTCAAACCAAGCTTCAAGACCAGAACCTTCAAGGAAAACAAGTGGCTGACAGGAAGGGGCAAACAGAATGCAGGACCCCAGAGAGCGAAGGCTGTCAGCGAAGGACACACGCGGTCACTTGGAGAATAGCCTTGCTCATTGCAGATCAGACTGCGGAGCATTTCCCAAGTCGGTTCCCTATCCTGCCTGTGAGGATGCTGAGGTTCCACTGTGTGAGTGGTCACAGGAGCTTCCAGGGGGGTTCAGGCTGCAGCCCTAGTGGAGAGCTCCTGTCCACAGATGGGCAGTGCACACGTCTCTGGACTGGGCAGAGAGACCTGAGCACGAAGAACCACCAGGCACAAGAATCCATTTCCTCCACCCTGTGACCTGCCAAAAGGGGTGGAAGCTGTGACCCCCTTCCCTCCAGAGGGCCAGACTAAAGGGCTACAGGGTGAGGCTAGGCTCCTGCTCAGCTCCTGGGCTCAGCAGCCCTGGTCAGACCAGAGGACAGGGTGCTTGGCGGAGGTGAGCCAGACGGCACACTCCAGATGCACCGTCTCCCTCCTGATAGCACAGAACCCTGCCTCACCATGGGAAAGGAAAGCACACAGTGTGCGGGCTGAAAGTCCAGGAGGCGCTGGACGCACAGGCAGCATTGATATCTAACCGTGTGGTTACTTGCACAGCCTGCTGGCGTCACCTGATGTCTCTTACCTGGTGCTTTCCCATTCTTGCTCATCTTTGTCTTTTTCCTCCTTCCCGTCTCCCGTGTGTGGGTGTTTCTGCACAATCCGCATTCCGCCGGCTTTCACTGAAATAAAAACAAAGGCAGAATGACCAGGGTGGAGGGGTGTCTGCCTGTGGATCTGGGGCACCCGATGGAAGGCCACAGTTATCGAGTGGACGCCAGGGACAGTGACAATCATAAACAGGGGGAGGGTAGTGTGATGCAGAGGAGACAGACATGGTACAGTCCTCGGTGCCTTCTTATATCTTAGAAACTTCCCAAGGCTCCCGCGTTCCTTTCTGATCATCTCTAAGTACTTTCTAAGAACCGCGGTGCCTTACGGATAAAACACGGGCCACTTAAAGCCTGCCTTGTGATCCGACTTCTTCAAACACCGGTGGTTTGGACAGGCTGACACAGCCATGGCTGCCCAGCAAGTTCTGGGAAATCCCCTTGCACTGGGGTTACGGACATGAATCATGCCCAGCTTCCGGGGGGTGCCAGGAATCCGAACTCAAGTCCTCCGGCTTTCAGACTAAGCCCTGGGCTGAAGTGGCTGTTCTCTCAGCTCCAGTGGGTTCTTCTCAACAGAGACTGGTACTGGGTGAAGCTCAGAGGTCAGCCATGGCCATTCAGAACAATCCTCCTTCCCACACAGTGCTCCAAAAGACTGCTGCTGGCAGATGTCATGTTCTTTCTAAGAGCAGCTTTTAAACACACTTCCTGTACCACGGAGCTCGCCTGTTTAGACGGTCTAACACTGTCTGAGTGTACTCAGAGTGGTGAGACCATGCTATCACTGTTTTGTCTCACCCCACGCAATAATTCCACACCCATGAAGAGCCTCCCCCGCCCATCCTTCCTTGGCTCTGGGTAACCATATATTCTTACTCTGGACATCTAGGGTGGAGAAGAAATCACAGAACACACAGAATTTGGTCATTGGCTCTTTTCCTTTATTTTCAAAGTTCACCAATGTTACTCCATGCATTAGGGCTTCATTCTTTAATGCCAAATACAGTCCTCTGCATGGATATAGTACATATTTGGTTTACCTTCTCACCAGGTGATGGGCACTTAGGTTGTTGGCAGTTCGGGCTGCTATGAGCACGGCAGCGCTGAATAACGTTTATATAATTTTCTGTGTCTGTGTGTTCATTGCCTTGGATCTGTATATAGGCATGGGATAGCTGGGTTCCATAGGAACCCTGTGGACCCTACTGAGAAATGTCCAGGCGTACACCAGGACGGGGCCTCTGATTTCTACACGTGTGCACCCCCACTTATCTGTGATTGGAGTCAAGCTAGCCAGGGAAGAAGGGGTGGAGGTGGACAGTGTAGGATGGAAAAAATGAGGAAATGCCAGGTAGACAGAATCCAATGGATTACTGTGCGTGTATGAGTGTGGAGGCCGAGGGTGGATACTAGATATTTTTCTGGGACACTAAGTATTTCTCAATCTTTCCTCCACCTGTTGTTTTTGAGAGAAGCAGGTTCTGAGAAGCCGTCCATCTCCACCTCCTAGCACTGCAATTACAAACACGAACTAGCTTCTATCTGGGTGCCAGGAATCTGAAATCAGGCCCTCAAGCTTCTGGAGCACATTACCAACTCGGCCCTCTCCCCAGCCCCAGATGGGCCTTTGCTGCGCTGGTGTGCATCAAGAAGGAACATGAAGTGGTGTGGGACAGTTGTCTATATTCTGTCAATTGTGTTTTAAATCAACACTGATTGGTCAGTAGCCATGCAGGAAGTATAGGCAGGACAACCAGATAGGAAGTAGAGGCAGGTCATTGAGAACAGGAGAATTCTGGGAAGAGGGAAGCTCCCTCTGCAGTCCTGTCCAGCACAGAAGAAGCAAGCTGTAACTACGCTGTTGACAAAGGTACTGAGCCATGTGGCTAACACAGATAAGAATAATGGGTTGATGTAAGGTATAAGAGTTAATAAGAAGCCTGAGCTAATGGACCAATCAGTTTATGATTAATGTAGACCTCTGTGTGTTTTCTTTGGGACTTAATGACTATTGGAACCAGGGAGGACAGAAACCTCAGACAACAATGAAGTCTCCCCAAATATATCTGACAGCAGATTCCCGCCCCCCAATAATCCTGGGTATCATCTTTTAGTAGCATTGTTCCAGGACAGGGTTTGCATGCACCCTATGCTCACCAAGCCTCATACCATGTGTGTGGCACTGAAGTTCTTTAAAGCTGATCTGTCTCGAGACCCTGGAGAATGCCTGAGCTAGCCCAGGTTCAGCACCATGACAGTGTGTAGACGGAATCTTGTAGGCCATTGACTTTCAACCTCCGTATCTAAACTAACGTTCTCAAGACGAGGACAGCTCTCTAAGAATGAATTTATGCTAAGCCCAGCAGACCCGTAGCCTCTACCAGACCTAAAACTAAGAATGAAGTACTATCTGAAACCTATAGGAAAGATTTCCCACTTGGGGACGGCCCACTTCTCTGTCACTCCCAACAAGGCATCTGCTGACTGTTCTGACTGGTGACTTCTCCTGAGGCTATAGTAAGTCTTTCACAGGGCTTATGTCAGTCACCCAAACCTGTGTTCCTGAGACACAATCATGCCAACCTGACTCAGGATAAACTGTTTGCTTTGAAATAGAATTATTTTCCATTGCACGCACTTGCCAGAGACGGGGACCCCCTAAGATAGAGACCCCTAAACGAGGACAGAGTAGTGCCCTGACGTGGGTCGCTTCTGTGGGCACAGAGCCCCGCCTTTCCTTCTGAGGACGGCTATCTACTCTTCTACAACAGCACAGCCAGTATCGCATGGAACGGAGTCGTCAGCTAGCCTCTGGGGTTCCTGGTTGAGCGTCACGCCAAGGTAAAGGACTGGATTCTGGGCCTGCAGGTTTAAACCCCAGCGCTGCCTGTCCTTGTGGGAATGTATGTACGTGTGTGTCTCACATTAGGTCTCAGGGCCCTCTACCTGTGAAGAGAGTGAAAATGTCCCCCCCCCCTCAGAGACATCTGAGGATAACTCAATTAGCTCCCGAAACACTTGAGAGAGCTGGCATACACAATATGCTTCCCTCTAGCAAGCATGTACTGAGATAAGAACTCAGAGCTTAGAAAGAGCTCACAGACTCAAATCCCGTGTGCTTGAACATCTCCCCACTGCAGAGGGAACAGGACCACAGGGAAGGAGGCCACTGCGGTACTGACATGTGAGGGCTGACAATCAGTAACAACCATAAGGGAGCCACTGCTAGGTAAGGGCTCTTGCAGAGACTCTCAGGTCCTGGGTGATTCTGCCACATCTCCTTTGTCACTGTTGCCATGTTCTAGGCACCCAACTAACCACACCAGCATCACACTTGAGACAGCCTGTGCTAGGGCCCAGTTTCCCCCAGGGACACAGTCTGTAAGAGGCACAGCTGAACCAGATGGATCTACATGACAGACGCCCTTAATCACAGGGAACCCTTCCAAGCAGTGTGCAGACAGGCTATGGTCAGGTCCCAATCAATCATTAGATCACCTGGAGATGGGAGGAAAGTTTGAAGTACAAATCTAATCTGTGGAACAACATCCTGTCCAAACGGGAAGGGGGTAGAGGAGCCTTCCTTGGTCAGACTGGCCCTGGGAGCAAATGGAGGGGGCGGTGATTCCCTGCCATCCCTGGCAGAAGTTCCCCTCAGCTGTTACAGTGCGAGAGGCAGTCAGGACAGTTACTGCGAAGGCTCAGCGAGAGGCTGGAAAAATCTGTAGCAGGACAGTAGACAGAGAGAAAGGTCTCCCAGGATCCTGCAGACTCTGGGCAGAGCAGCTAACGGTGAGTGCGTTTAGTTGTTAATAACACACACCCATGGCTCCCAAGCTTGAGCGCGGATCCTAAAAGACGCTTTGAAGGGCAGCTGCCTTGAGCTGCTGAAATGGTATTAACAGGAGGCTAATCCGCCCTTAGGAGGTGAAGGGCTCCGACGACTCTAGGTGGGGAGAACACAAAAGAGCCAGCATACTGTAGGTTAGAAATATGCCCAGGCAATGCACGGCCGAAGCATGAAAGCAAGGGGAGGTGGAATTGGACCTTCCCTGAGACATGCGGGACAGGAGCTTAAAATGGACAGGGCAAAGGAATGTGGTCTGTCTTCATTAGAAGTGTTTCTACATTACCTGGCAAGGAAGGGCCTCCCTTCAGTGGACGCTCACACAGCCCAGGGTGTGAGCTCTATAAGGCAAAGGTGGGGAATGTGAGGGGCAGCAGCAAGGGTGGACACTGGGTGGCCTGGCATCTACTTGTCAATTGTGGGAAATCCCAGTGAGAACCCTCTGCCCCAGACCATGTAGGTCTCCACAGAGGCTCTCCGCGGTATGCACTAAAATTATGAGCCCCTCCCTGATGCCCTGATACTGCACCTCAGACAGCTCATCACTAAGGAAGCTGAGGGAAAAATGGAAGAGAGCAACGCTCTTTGGTTAGGGTGCAGGCTGCTGGTTTAAGCCACACAGGCAACTCCTTTCCCTTTCCGGGGCGGAAATGAAGTTAAGGGACAGGGTGTGACCAATGAAGGCCGCGTCCATCTTCCACGTCACTGCGTCTGGGAGCAGAGGCACCGCATAGTCTCGTCAGTCACGAGAGAAAGCAGGACCCGACTGCTGGAGATGCTGGGGAGAGCTGTCATCAGAAACCCTGGAGGCAGGGACTGGTAGGTGTTGGTCGATGCCACCTCTGGACCCGTGTTGCAACTGGGTCAAGGCCATTTAGCTGGGTCATGGGCAACAGAACAAGGAACAGTGACTGTGGTGTTACTTTCAATGCTACAGGATAATGTCTCCTCTCCCCAGAACTTACAAATGTGTTCTATGGCAAGGTGAAAGTATGGCTGCAGAGGGAATTGAAAGCCAATCGTCTGAACCTAAGATTACTCTCGATTAGCCACGTGGACCATGTAATCAGAAAGGTCTTTAGATATGAAAAGAGGAAAGAGAGGTGTCAGGGTCCCAGTGGGGATGAAGGAAGGAGCTACGAACCAAGGCGTGCGGGTGAACTCAACACAGAGACGGTCCAGAGAGGAGGCTCCCCCCCCCCCAAAGCTTCCAGACGACAGCAGCCTGCTCACACCTTGGCCTGAGCATGGTGACACCTACTCTAGACTCTTCCCAGACTGTGCAAGGAGGAAGAACTGAATGATCTTGCATTTACTGAGATTAAAAAAAGCATAGTCGTAGGGCTAAAAAGAGCAAAGCACACTACTTCCCACTCGACTTGAAATAAACACAATCATTTGTCTAGTGACTTTAAGTTCATCGTGGTTTAAAACCACCAAGTTTACTATAATTACCTGCAGAAACTGCCACAGCAAAGCCTGCCTCTCACGGGCCCCACCAGAGACCTGATATTCTACCACATCCTGCCCTCTGTGGCAGCCTGTGCAGACACGGCAGCATCACAGCGCAGAAAGTGTCCGGGACTCCACGTTGCTCCTTGCTGGAGGTTCAACAGGAGAAAAAGGAACTTTGACTTCTTCAGCTCACCTAAAAGGACTGTGTCAAAAAGTGAATATTCCCTGTGTAAGCAAAAAGATGTCTGAGATATGGAAGGGAGGCGGCTACCAACCTATGTCAGGACGCAGGGCGGTGGCTGAAATGAACAGGGCACATACAGCAGGCTCCAGAAGGGGAAGCTAGTCAGAGCTGTCTAAGGAACAGGGGAGGTAACTGTAACTGCATTACAAATGCTAGGTCAACCCTGATGCAAACAAACAGAGAAAACAGTCACTAAAGCATGGCATGCCCCGTGGCATGCTGGGAGTGGAAGCAGAGGGCGCGTGCTCCCTCCAACCGGTGGTCAGTGGCCGGGTTCCCTGGCTGAACGTGGGAATATGCTTACCACGTGTATGACAGGATGCTCGCTATAGAAAGGCAAATTCACCATTCATTTCTGGCAACAGAAGAGACTGGATAACCCAAAAACTTCCTGCGAGAGAGCACTTCAGGGTCGATTATCATCCACAGGCTTTAATGCATCCTGAAGCCATGTCTGAGTGATTAATGCAATGGAGCTGAATTATCGGTGTTGCTGAAAATAGCAAGTGGCCTATTTCCCGCCGTACTTGACATAAACAGCCACGTTCCTATTTTCATTTGACTTGGTTCTGTGGGGGATGTGAGAACAACTTCTGGCGGAAAGCCCTCCAGAAAAGCAGCAACATGTGATGGAATCACGTTATCAGATTTATGAAACTTGACTTATCGTTTTGGCTCCCCTGAGCAATAGGTACACGTGGTGGGGACTATAGGCCTGAAACGTGTACCTGCCAAGCGAGACTTTATCCAGTTCACATGGGGACTGGCAGGGATGAGTCACTGTGTCTAGTCTGGGCAGCTGGGAGGGCCACGGCTGCTGCTGTTAGAGCTAATGCAGCCTCTGAATGCGTTGCTGCCTTAGCAACAGCGGTGAAACCAATGGGCTCACCCCCAATTCTCCATACGCATTTTCTGGTGAGGAGCAGCAATGGGGGCTACAGTCTGAGCTGCCTGGCTTGCTGTCAGGGAGATGTGTGCAGAGCGCAGTGACATGCCATCTATCCCAGGAAGGTCTCTGTGCAGTACAGTTCTTCTTTGCAAACCACCTCCCTAACCTCACAGCTTGGGAGTGGCCTCTGACCAGCGGTGGATACTGTCAGCCTGCTGAGGTCCTTCAGGCCAGTCCCCACCATTCACTACCTGTGCAAATGAGGACAGCAGGGAGGCTGCAGGCATGGCATTAGGGAGTGAGGTGGCCGGTGGGGACAGACAGGCCTTGGGGAAACTTCCCAGGAACTGTTGACTAAGTGTCTCATCCAAGGTAGTGTGCCAGCCCCTGAAGGGACAGCCATCGGCAGGCAGGGAAGCCAGGAGAGTGGGAGAGCCTGGAGGTAGGTGCAGCGAGGAAAATGAGGAAAACGGGCAGTATAGGGACTGGAGAGGCCAGTAAAGCGAGAACACAAGAGAGGACAGTAAAAGAGGTGTGGTAAGAGGATTTTATTATTTCCAACGATAGATTTAACACAAGTCTGTTATACAATGTAAGCACTTAATGACAGCTTTCCCGAAGTTCTTAAGGCAGTGGTTTTGACTTATGGACTGCGTTCTTGGCAATCCTTTATTATTTTTTACTAGTGGGTGGCCCTTTCTTCTTTCTCCAAACATTTATCCTGCAGCACTGCTGCTCTCTAGGACTGCCAGACACTCTGGCCTCCCCGCCACAGAAGGAACTTCTCCACACTACACAGGACCGTGCTGCTGAGAAGCACAGCCTGCCAACAGCGCAGTCCCACCCACCCCTCTTGGTGGCCTTGGGATCTCCAGTCACAAGACCTTTGGGTCAGGTGAGTTAAAGGGCTTGCCCTAAGGTCATGCGAACTGTTTGATTAACAAGAGGAACAAACAGGCAAAGGAGCAAAAGTTACAGTCCCAAGGCCAGGGCCCCACCAACTGCTGCCCCAGAGGAAGACCATCTGGTCTAGCCTCTGACGTCAGGTAAGGAGACCCCTGAGTCCCAGAGAAGCACAAAGTCATGCCCCAAAATTCAAAACTTCGAGCCCAAGTGCACTGCTCCAGAGGCACAGCAAAGCAAGGTTCTAAACAAGGTAGTCCATTCCGAATTCAAAAGCCTGTTTGCAAACTGAAGTAAACCAGAACTCTCCAGTTTCTCCAAGTGAGCTTTTCCTTCCTCTGATCCTGAGCCGTGCCTCCTAGTCTCCATGAACAATTTAATCAATATTGTTTTGACTCATTGTCTCTCTAAGAGGCACACATTAATGAACTCCTTCTCCTGGGAGACTCCCTTGAGTGTCTGTTGAGCACAGGCCCCTCGCCTCAGCCTGGAATCCTGCAGTGTGGGTCAGGCCAAGCAGCACAGATCCACAGGCAGCTGAACTCAAACTACTCCTTTAAGAGTTAAAGGTCAGGGTTTTCCTTAACGGAAATCTTTCTTTGTTGTTCTTTGGTTTTGCCCTTCTTAAATTTTAATAGAAAAAAGTTTTTATACAGTATAGTCTGATTATGATTTTCCCCTCCCCAGCTCCTCCCCCACTCCCCTACCCACCCAACTTCACTTTTTTTAAAAAAGAAAATTAAACACACACACACACTCTCTCTCACACACACACACACACAAACCACAAAACCAGACACCAAAACACACAAAGCAAAAGACTAATAAGACAAGAAAAAACACTAACAAACAAACCAAAAAAAAAAAACAACAAAAAACTCACAAAACAAACAAATAAAAAAACCCAAAGCAACACAAGACAGGAAATCTACAAAAAATACCATTGAGTTCATTTTGAGTTGATCATCGACTTACAGAGAGCATGGGGCCTACTCTGAAAAGTGGTTTAATACACTCAGTGAGACTCCATTGGAGAAGACTAATTTTCCTTTGCAAAACGGGCACTAGTTTTGGACAGGCTTGGTTAGGGGCTGGAGCCTGTGTCTTAAAGGAAGTCTTTCCAAGGGTGGTTTTGTTTGGTCTGAAGCGAGGATTGAACCCAGAGCGTTACAAACTCCATGATGGAATTCTTACAGCAAACACCAAGTGTTTCCACCACAGTGGGATCCTTTTCTAACTCCTACACCCAGTGAGATTAGCGGGGAGGCGCTGTTACAGCCACTCCTGTCCTCCCGTGGGGCCAGCAGCTGCAGAGGTGTGACATTTTTACAACAGAGAGATGGCACAGATGTGTCCACCACCCAGCACTTTCCTCTAAGGTTTGCTGGGAGAAGCCCTGGTTCAGAGCGTGTGCAGTCAGGACCTGGACGAGCTCTAAGAAGACTTGGCTTCAGGGACCTGTGGCCTTCGAGCCGCCTCTCAGGAGTGCTCTTACTGGCATCCTTGCCACCTAGCCCCACCAGCGTGGCAGCCACGGAGGAACAAACAGGAACTGAGTGGAGGCGGCGCCCAACACGCACAGAGGTTGCTTGCCATTTCCTAAGAAAGGTGCCCCTTTCCTGAACTTAACTGCCTTGGCTTAGAGTTTGAGGATTTGCTTTAAAAATATCTTTTTAACCACTCTCAAGAGAAAGCTGGATGAGAAAAGAAAACGAGGAGAGGAAGCCATGCCAGGAGATTAGTGATCGGGATTATTTCCGCTCCTTTGGACTGTCGGTGTGAAACGCTGTCAGTCCACGATTAATCATCACGGCATCATCACACTGCCTTTTAATTGTTGGGGACTTCCCCCAAACATCTGTGCGATCTCAGCGGAAGCTGCCGACGTTTGAGTTCTGAGTTGTACAACTGGGCTTAGTGCGGGCACTCGCGGCGACTCCAGAGGTGGCTACGTGTCCCCGCCGGGGAGGGTCGGATGCCCGCGTCCCGCTCACCTGCGACCCGGAGCCCCAGCTCACCTGCGCGCGTGCGCATCGCCCCGGTCCGGGACCTGGGGAACCCCGATCCTGCCCCGCCCTCGCCCGGCGCCCCGAGACAAAGTGCAAACCAGTCAGTACCGGCGGGCGGGTGTCCAGCTTTGGTCTCCAGCTTCCCTTCTGGAGGCGAAGACATGGCGCCTCTGGCTCGAGGGGCGACGACGGCTGCGGCGGAGGGGTGGGAGGCCTGTTTCCCCATTTTTAAGGTAGAGAACCTGAAACTTAGCAAACTCC